TCCTAAACTGAATATTAATGACAGGTCTCATTAGAGGAGTCAGATGAAGAGTATCTCTACCATAAACAACATGATGGGACATAATTTACAGAAACCTATACCAAAGCAGTCATCAACAAGGTCAACAAGTACTGGGCTTGGTATTGGAATTCCTGGACAACTGGTGACAAGTGGGCCACATGACTCAGGACTGGTACCTGAAAAACCAGGACCAGAAAATGCAGGACTATTGGAAGAAAAAAGGTTTATCCATTGGAAATATACAAAGACTGGAAACAAAGAAATAATGATTTGCTATTACAAATCAAGTCCAATAAGAAGAGAATATCTGAAAAGAATACACCAATTGAAAACTGGCTAACATCTGGCAAAATCTACCTGATAGTGAAAGATCTAACAAAAGAGACAATACCAGGCAACTATAGATCAGTTACCTGCTTACCAACAACCTTCAAATTGCTGATTTGGTAGCTGATGCAGCTTCTAGTTGAAAACAAGCTCTTTCCATCTGAACAGAAACAAAACCACTCTTTCAGTAGACAAACAAACAAACAAACAAAAAAAGATCAGTTCCTAATGGAAGAGTTTGGATTTTGATTTTGGAAAAATGTAAGGGAAGGAAGGAAGACCAACTTGAACTTAATTTGGATTAATTACAAGAAGGCATTAGACTCCCTGCCACATAATTGGATAATCAAGTGTGCAGAAATAATAAGAGTCAGGTGAAACATCAGAAACTTTGTGAAAAAATCGATGACACAATGGAAGACACAGTTGATGGTTCATGGTGACAGATTGGGAGAAATTAATATCAAGAGAAGAATATTTCAAGGAGACTCACTGTCTGTTTGTCACTGCATTGATTCCTCTGTCAACAATACTAAATAAATCACTTCATGGCTATCAAACACCAAAAACATTTGCTAGGTATCCCTATCACCTTTATATGAATGTGATTTGAAGCTGTATGAAAAATACCATCTGAAATATAATCACTGCTCAACACTGTCCAAATATACAACCAAGATAAGGCAATGAATTTGGCCTGGACAAATGTGCCATCTTTTTTCATCAACAAGGGGAAAAATAGTAAAAATTTAAGGAAACAAGATGGCCTTTGGAAATCTGGAGTTAGGATGAAGAAGATCACTACAACTTCCTGGGTATCCTTCAAGCAGACATCAAACACACTGAAGTCAAGAAGCTTAATAGTGAATACATCAGAAGAATGAAGATTTTAAAAGTCAAAACTCAGTGATTGAAGTATCATCAAGGTGATTAATGCCTGGATAATTTGTCATTAGATACACAACTGGAATAGTGGACCATACTCAAGTAGAGCTAAAAGCCCAGGATAGAAAGCCCAGAAAAATAATAATAATAAATCATGCTGTTCATCTGTGCAGCAACTTTGACAGACTTTATTTACTAAGGAACATAATTGGGTATGAAATGTTGCAAGTATAGCAGATAGATGAAGAAGAAAAAAGGGCATTGGAAGAATATCTGTAGGACAGTGAAGAAGATGCACTGAAATTAGTATACCATTAAGACTTACTAAATACCATGAGGCCAAATTGGCCTTTAAGAAAGACCAAATGAAGAGCAGAAAAGAGACATGGCAAAGCAAAGCATTACTTGGCCAGTATAATAAACAAACAAATAATAAAACTAGCAGGCAAAGCAGATAACAGCAGGAAAATTGTTGAAAGAGATAGAGGGGCTGATTCTGGCTGCACAAGACCAGGCCTTAAAGACAAACAAATATGAAACCAAAATTGAGAAGCCAGCAACAGACAGCAAATGCTGTCTCTGTAAAGAGGCTGAAGATATAGTGGACACCTATTCAGTTGCTGCAAGAAGATTACAGACTGATTTCAAATAAAAGCATGCCGAAGTAGTAACAATGATGTATTGGAATATCTACAAGAAATAACTCTACAAGTGAGAACTGGTGGGACTACCCAACAGAGAACAGAAATCACAAAATATAAAGACCTGCAAATAGAACCCAAAGACTGTGGCAAAAGAAAGCAAAAATAGTACCAACACTAATAGGCACTATGGGTGTAGTTCCAAAACACCTGTAACTTCATTTGAACATTGGCATTGACGAAATCACCATCATTTGCAAAAGGTGGCTTTATGTAGAATGGTTTAAGTCTGTGATGATACCTTTAACACAATTAAACATCAACATCAGTCTATCCAAGGTCTTTGGGAAGGACTCAACAGGTGGATAAAAATGTCAAATCCAGTCTAAACATCTGGCTGACTGTGGGGCCAACAATAATAATATAAAAGTTTATGCTGGAAAATATGCTAGAAATTATCCAATAATGGTGGTAGGCTTGGAGGAGACTATACTGGAAATTAGCCAAAAATAGTTGGTGCGCTGGAGGAGACTATGCTGGGAATCAGCCAAACATAATATGCTGGAAAACAGCCAAACAATAGAGGGAGGTATGGAAGAAAATATTCTGGAAATTAGTTTAAATAAAACATGTTTTTGTGATAAACCTGTGTAACATGAAAACTGTAATAGATGATAAGTGTTTTTAAGTGTGCTTAAGATACTAAGATTCGAGGAAAAGGGTCAAGAGATTAAGAATTAGATAGAATTTTGTTTTATAAAGTGTAATAAAAATGGAGTTGTATTGAATTTGAAATTAAGATTTGTGGTGATAAAATTGTAAGGTAAATAATTAGAATAAGAGGCTAGAATATTGTTAAAAATTATTTTGACACTAATTGTAAAAGATATAAGGTGAAGAAAAACAAGATAAAATTAGGATTGATATATAGATATAAAAATGAGCAAAAGTTAGTTTGAAATTAAAATTGTATTGATATAATGGATTTGTTTAGGTGAAGATGCTAGACTTTATGTTAAAATTTGTTTTTTTATGTTTTGAATTTCTATCCATAAAAGATGTAATGGGAAATAGAATGGAGCTTGTTAAAGGAATGTAAGCGTGGTAACCATCTATGACCGGATCGAGACTCTGTTCTTAAAAGTTATATTTTATGTTTATGTTTGGAAAAAAAAATATTTACAAAAAAATAATAATAATATAAAAGTTATTATATAAATAAAGTTATATATAAATTTATAATGCTACCCACTCCCAGGTACTTGGATGGTTAATCCATCTGGACCAAGCATCCCAGGAGAAATTGTAGGTGTTCTGCAATGTACACAGTGCTGAGACACACAGGCACTGAGGCTCACAGTGACAGAATAGCCTTACATAATAGGCCCTTGCTTGGAAATCATGCTCATTTTTAGTTTTTGGGATATTATTGAAAATGAAATTGTTCTGGAAATATGATGAAGTATAATAAAGCACCTAAGAGGAAGTAAAGTGTGCTTATTTTTTGTGATAGCTATCCTAACTTTAAAGTCATCTTAATTTTGCCAAGTCCACAGATATATGTTCACAGATATTTTTTTTGAAAAGCCTCTTTGAATATGCATAATTACCTATGAGATTCTTTGCCTTAAGCCTATCTGTAAAGTTCCACATTTCACATTACTTCTCTTCATATCAATTACTTATATAAACTATATGTAATATTAGAAACCAGAAAACCATGTAGCAGCTTTAATCTCTATTCTCTTATCGCTTATTATCTGGAAGCTGAGTATATCATAATAATATTTAGTTTTATAAATAAACACCTAAAACGACATCCTGCCCCACTTTCTTTTGAAAATTGCTATGTGATGCTGGAAGCTACCAAAATAAAAATATCTAATATCTACTAGATTATGGAATCTGATTCACTGGAACAATGGTTCACATTTAGCCACAAGATCACACGATCATTGAGTTTTATAAAAACAAAGCATGAGATTACATGATCATTAAGTAAGTGTTATAATAATAAAGCATGAGATTTAAATTGACAAATCAGTACTAAAATGAGGGAAACTATGATGAGCCATGCAGCTTCAAATCATAATTTGCCTATTCACTTGGAAGCTCAAACCTACTCCCTATATGCTCATTTTTGAATTAACAATTGAAATTACATATTCCATGTTTGAAAAGAAAAATATTGACATTTTGATATTTAACATTATTTAAATTATCAAAATTTTAAAACTATTTTAATTTTAATAAATCATACAGAACTTTTTAATAAGTTGACTGTATTTATCAATACTATTTCCCTTTGTCATGGCTTTTAACTGGGCAAATGGTGCATTATAGGATAAAAATTTTTGAACCAAAGTGCCTCAAATGGGCCAACATACAAAAATGTGTCCAAACCCTGGGAATGACACCCAGAGGAATAAATTTGGGGAAGTTGTGGCTGCTTCAGTGCTACTGACTATTACTGCTGCAATCATGTGATCTTCATTTTCAACATATTGTGATAATTTCCCAGTCAGTCTCACAATTCCTCCCTCCTTCCCTGACCTAGCAGCTTCCGAGGCAAGGCAGGGCAGGGCAGGGCAGGGCAGGGCAGGGCAGGGCAGGGCAGGGCAGGGCAGGGCAGGGCAGGGCAGGGCAGGGCAGAAGATTTTCAACACTACCTGCCTGATTCCCATATGGAAAAATTAAGGGAAAGCTACTAGGAAGTCACTGTTCCCATTCCTTTTTTGACCACTCTGTCATTTGTTTCTCTTTTAAGAGAATGTCTCTGGAAAAATGACTCAAAAACACGGGTTGCCCAGATTAATTTTCAGAAGTGCTTCCAAGTTCTAAAAGAGCCATAGTACAGGAAACATCTAAAAAGTCTCAAATCTCCTCTGACTGTTAATCAGGTTGCCTGCCACTCTACCTTAACATCCAATTGGGTCATTTAAAGACTAACTGAATGAGTAAGTTGGCTTCTAGGCTATAGAAGGAGACACAATTTAAAATGGGGCATCATTACCTCTAGTGCATCCTATCTGATGTCATTTATGCCCCGTGACCCGCATGCACCAAAGTCTCTATTTGTTCTATATATCCAGGGAAAAAAGTAAGAAGGGAAAAAATATTACATACCATAATCTGTGATCTTACATGATACCAAATAAAGTTCTTTCAAATTCTGTCCTTCTTTAGCAATGACCTCCACACATCTGCAATACATACAAATCTAGATTAAGCAACATTTGTATAGATTTTATATGACTACAAATCCAGGGGCTACTAGACTTTCGAATATCATTGACTAATGGATGAAATTAGGTAAAACTTTAGCTTAATGTGATTACATTCTAATATATTTCAAAATATATAACTTCTCTATTTTTCAGTCTAAGTTAATTCAAAAAAGCTAACATATTTTAAAATATTCAATAGCATAATGTTTTCTATCTCATTTTATTCTTAATTACAAGATATTAAAGAAATGGTTCCAAATTAGCAACAAAATGTTTAATAAGTATCTTACTATCTGCACTTCAAATTTTTTAAAAAATGACACTCAAAATTGTTTTCATTTTGAAATACTATTATATTTTAATTTAAACATTTAATGAGATTATCTTACAGTAGCTACGACTGTAAATTTGGACACTCAATTTTTTCTTGTATGCCTGAGTCAGTTTTACTGATGTCAGCAAACATTAAGGCTGAAATATGTTTTATTTGTAGAAGAATATATTAATTGGAAATAATATTTTGGTTTTAATTCTCTTGTTGATTACTAGAAGAATGATATAAATCTGAAAGTTATATTATTTTGTTCAAATATGAGAGGAATAAACAAAACTATACATTTAAGCAATTTTAGAAATTTAAATAATTTATTTTCATAGTAAAAAATTATTTTATTGCTAAAGTAATTAGTTTACAATCGAAAACAGACAATCATTTTCATTAACTAGTATTGTCCTCTATATTTCTCTCTATATTTATTATCTTTAAAATCATACCACTAACACAGAATTGTTTTTCTATTATTAAATAGATATAGGTAGAAGAAACGGCAACAATGTTAAGTTATAGACCAAATTATATTGTCTACTGTAAGACCTTCATAAAAATTTGACACTGAAACATGTACTATTCAATGTAAAGAAAACAAATTACCATTACTACATATAATGTGAACTGCATTGCTTTTTACCTGTACTTCTAACCTTACTGATATCAACTGATATCTAGTCATTGTATTAAAGTAAGGCATATATACAACAAGCCTTAAAAAAAGTTAAAACAGAGAATACTGCTATGTATTGTCACAAAATATTCTCAACAGTCAATATATTTTAATCTTAAGCATACTGAAATGTCTTAAAATATATGGCTTTTTGATATGTGTGCAAAATTTAAATGCTAAATATGTATTTAAAAATAATTTAAAAGGGATCCATTTTTCATTATAATTTGTACATTATTCTTAGAAGTCTTTCAAATGCTCAGTTTTTACCTATTGGATAAAATATATGTTAATGAAACTGTAAAATACATGCTATCAAATTGAGTCAAAAGGAGTTTGAATTATGGGAAATAATTGTCTATTCTATATGCATACATAGCGTTTACGTTTTGGACTATCTTGCAAAAGCCTGGAACATGGCATTAGTGACAACTGAAATGAACTAATGAGGAAATATGACTACACAGCTTGCAAGAAAAGTGGTCCTTGGAGACCTTGTTACTGTTTGTGATGCATTTCAGCTAATAAAAGCTGCCAGACATTGGTTCAGAATATTTCACTTTTTTAAAAAAATGGAGTTTCAATCACCTTAGTGGTATGAAAGGAAATGATACAATTAAAAACAGAACCTGATGAGACTTGGAATGACTGGCTGAAAACAGTCCTCTGATCACTGTTACTTTTACAGGAACTATATTTTTCTAAGGTGAAAAAACTTTATTTAAAATATAAACAAGAAACATAAAGATTAATTGGAAAATATTTAACTCTAAAAATGGTTTATGTTTTAACGCAAGAAAACGTATATATTTTGAGCAGAATATATGTGCATATCACATCTCATCGTAATATTTCTTTGATGATCTGTAATAATTCACTGGTAATTTACAATTGCTAATCAATACTGGTTTTCTGAAATTAAATGAAGTTGGCCCAAAGGTGCTTTTTCAAGAGAGCAACTGGACTTTGTTTTTTCTTGATGACGTTTTGCTTCTCATCCAAGAGCCCGAGTCCATCTGAAGCAGGGGTAAAATCCAGCAGGTTCTGACAGGTTCTGGAGAACCAGTAGCGGAAATTTTGAGCAGTTCGGAGAACCGGCAAATAACACCTCTGGCTGGCCCCAGAGTGGGGTGGGAATGGAGATTTTGCAATATCCTTTTCCAGGAGTGGGGAGGGAATGGGAATTTTGCAGTATCCTTCCCCTGCCATGCCTTCCAAGCCACACCCACCAAGCCACACCACAATCACTAAGCCATGCCCACCGAACCGGTAGCAAAAAAATTTGGATTTCACTACTGATCTGAAGCCCTAGAGACTGCTAAAAGGCTCACAGCACTTGGCTACCAGACTAAGGTGGGAAGCAGAGGCCAAGAAGATAAATGTCCTATTCTCCAAAAAGCCATCCAAGATGCATTCCTAACTGCAACAACACAGGAACAGTAGAGCCACCAATAGCAGAAAATGAACTGAATTTCTTTCCTTATGTTAACCGGTCTGGGTAGAAGCTAGCAGCTGCTTCACATGCTAGGCATTCGTGCACTGCTGTTAGTTTCTTTAGCCAGTAAGTTAGATCATATTTGGGCCACGTGCTATCCAGCTCTTGGTGTTCTTGAACTAAATCAGATCTATTATTGGATGTCTGCTATTACTCTCTACATGGGGCTCCCCTTGAGGAGCACCTGGAGGCTCCAATTGGTCCAGAATGCGGCCGCACAGGTAATTGCGGGAGCTGCCTGGCGCTCCCACATAAAAACCACTCCTGCATGAGCTGCACTGGCTCCCAGTGGTCTTCCGGGTGCGCTTCAAGGTGTTGGTCACCACTTTTAAAGCGCTCCATGGCATAGGACCTAGTTATCTTCGAGACAGCCTGCTGCTACCGATGACCTCCCACCGACCTGTGCGCTCCCACAGAGAGGGCCTCCTCGGGGTGCCATCAGCCAAACAATGTAGGCTGATGACCCCCAGGGGGAGGGCCTTCTCTGTGGCGGCACCTACTCTCTGGAATCAGCTGCCCCCACAGATAAGGAGAATTCAAGACCTTGGTGCCTTCCGCCGTGCCCTTAAAACTTTCTTTTTCCAGCAAGCTGGGCTGGCTTAACATAACATTTTTTAAAAACATTTTTAACTGGTTTGTCATTTTAAATTGGGGCCAAATTAATATATATCCTTTTAATTGTTTTTAATGTTTGTATTATATGTTTTTAGCTGGCTGTACACCGCCCTGAGTCCCTCAGGAGAAGATGCGGTATATAAATTCAAAATAAATAAAATAAAATAAAATAAAATAAAATAAAATAATAAAATAAAATAAAATAAAATAAAATAAAATAAAATAAAATAAAATAAAACAAAACAAAACAAAACAAAACAAAACAAAACAAAACAAAACAAAACAATAAAATAAAATAAAATAAAATAAAATAAAATAAAATAAAATAAAATAAATATTATGATGGTGACTGGTTCCTGTCCTTAGAGATTGCTGTGGTCTGCTCTTAGATTATGCAGCCACTTTGCACTGGTATTATGTGTCTTCTTTTTCTTCCATGTATTCTTCCAGTACAGTTCAATTTCTGTTCCTCTAATGTATCACCTTAGTCTAATATCCAGTGCTATGGGATCTAGGACAACTCGCCATAGATATCATGACCTCATTAGAGCCCAATTTGTAGGAGGATTTAGAACCAGGACCATCCGACAGGGATGGCACATCTCCTTTGGAATGTTTGGAGAGGCCTGGGGCTGAGGACAATGCTGCCCCAAGCCCCTCAGGAATTGGGGGAAGTGGTCAACTGGACAGAGAGCTGCCTGCCCTCACAGACACAGGGGAGAATTGGTTGCAGACAGGTAGTGGTTCTGATAGGCAGCAGATCCCCTCTGATGAGGAACAGCTGCCTCCCCCACTCATCCAAGGGTACAGAGAGTAGAATGTAGGCAAGTTCAAAGGAGGGCTGTGAAGCTACTTGGAGAAGGTTGCTCCACCCCTCCTCACAAGGAACACCTGGTGTGGGTTGACTTAAGGAGAAATGGGGGGGAGTGTCTTCCTCAGGAATAATTATTTGTTTTGGCTTACATTCCTGCTCCTGCCTGTGCCTTGTCTTTACTTTGCGGACTGCCTTTTGCCTTGTGGACGTGCCTTGCCCTTTGTACCTTGCCCCTGGACCTTGCCCCACAAGCTTGCACATTCTCTTTGGACTTTCTTTATTGTTTACTGCTTTTCTTTGGGGAACTGAGGGTGGCTCCCTTCAGGATAGTGTGGGGTGGTCTTACCAGCCATTGTTGTGGCCTTTAATCAGAGGATCTAATTTGCCTACGCGACCTGTGACATAACAATAGCTGACTCATCCCAGTTGTGTCGCTATGGCCAATTTGCCCTGGCTAACTCATGGTCAACTTATCTATAAAAAGTCACACCTTTGGAGAGAAGCTAACTTCTCTCCATATGTGCAGAGACATATGAATGAAAGGTATGACATCTGTTCTTCAAATTATAAAAAGAAACTTAAACTGACCACTGTTTATGCTACAAATCAATATATCATTAGCAAAAGTAAAGCATTCATAGGAAATGAATGTTGCATTTATAGGAAAATGTGCTTAAAACTGCGTCCTCAATCAATCAAGCAAGTATAAATATGCTGATCCAGCTTCTAATTCATATATACTGAATTTGGAATACTTAGATAATCATAATGTGACATTTGACACTTACCTCTGGGAGAAACAACTTTATGTTTTAGATTCAAATTGTTTGAGAGAAGTTTTCCCTTAAGGATTCCTAAACCATCTCCCCATGGCTATATTTTAATTTCTGTGCTGCTACTCTGTCAGTTGTAACAAAAAGCAGCAAATATTTGCCATAATATATCAGTGAAAAGAAGGCAAAACTAACATTCTCAGTCAATTGGAGAATATTTATTTTCAAGGCCTGTCATTGTGTCTAGTTTAAGAGTAAACAAGTTTCAAATGGATCTC